ACGCTATCGTTTCTCTGTGGTTTTTTTCATTGCTGTCCAGATGAATGTAAGGGCTGCATCTCTGGGATATGTTTCCCATCTCCTCGTCTGTTTTTATGGAAGTGACATCCCGTACCTATTACTTTTCTAGATTATTTTTTTCATTACCCTGACTTCATTGTGTTTTTCTCCTTGTTGTCAGTCATGTGTCATCCAGTTGATCACAGGTCTTTCTGGTTTTGCTGGTTTTCTTTTCCTTGGTGTGTTCTTACCTTTGTGTAAACTTTACCGTTGTGATCAGTTCATTATCTGTTCCTAAGAGCTCCTCTTCTGCAATTTGGTTAGGTATATCTCTGTGTAAACGCAATTTTTTTCTCAGGTATCCATAGCATTCTGCAGTTTCTCCATCCAGTCATCATTGCTGTTTTTCTCTGGTGGTGGATGCTTTTGAACGATTAAATTTGGATTATTGTACCCTGTGAGGTCATAGCAACAGATTCTTCCCTGACCAGTTCTCTACTCTTGATAACACTATTTGTGTTATACCTACAATGAAATGTATGTGTATAAATGTAAGAAATGTTTATTGGCACGGATAATAATTTTTACATATGAAGTGTGGATGAGGTTGTTTCTATTAAAGCCTTTACTAAGATCCTATCTAAGAATCGGTTCTTCATTCAGTGAGTATTGTAGGTAGGCAGTTACAGTAAACATAACCAAGTGCACTTTTCTCCTTGCCAAAGAGAGAATCATAGAATGCCAGGTTGGAAGGGACCTCAAGGATCATCTAGTCCAACCTTTGAAGGTAAAAATATAGTTTAAATTATATGGCTCAGCACCCTGTCAAGCTGAGTCTTAAAACTGTCCAATGTAGGGGAATCCACCACTTCCCCTGGGAGATTATTCCAATGTCTAATTGTCCCAATGGTGGATAAGTTTCTTCTGGAGATGCTAGGTTAGTGCTACAGTTAAGTAGAAGAAAGGTTGGTGGTTTACAGTCTCCGCTGAAATTTGCGGGATTCCTCTGCTGTTATCACTTCTGCAATCTAAAGTCTTTGAAGTGATGTGAGATGCCCGGTGGAGAGGAAGAGAATTGCACCTGAGTTCGGGCTAGACTTGTGTCTCTGCTGTCTCCTGAAGCTTAGTGATATTCTGCATGCTCTAAGTGGCTGTTTCTTAGTGCAGTGCTGGAAGTGAAGAAATAATAATAAACAGTTTCAACAGTGCTGCTATTAGATGAGGAGAAAGGTAAGAAAGGAAGGAGTGTAGCTGTTAGTTTGTTTGTGTTGAATGTTGGTAATGCTGCTTTAATTGGATTGCTCTAGTTTGTTTGAAATCACTTCTGGATCCAAAGAACATAAAAAAAAAGGCTCAGACATCTAGGCCAGGTGTTTCTTGTTCTAAAAGTCTAAAAAAATCTTTGAGAAGAGAAGCTGAGCTGAAGTAGAGGGGATTAAATTGTGAAGATTTAATATATAATGAATAGATTTCCAAGGTGCATTTTGTATGTTACAGTCTACTGAAATTTTGTACTTTATGGTCTGCACTGTAATGTAATGATATGGAAGTTTATTTCCAGATGAAAGGTAAGCAGCAGTGGGTTTGCTGATCACATTTGTTGTTCTAAGTTGTGTATGTTATGACAGATGTGGTTGAAAATTATACTTGGTTGCTTTTTATTTTCCGTACTTTCTTAACGGCGCATTAGTAAGCCACTAGATGGAGGTGTTACTCTGGTTGTGCAGCTGCTAAGCCTTCTTTCTTTAAAGGCTGTAAAGATACTACATTGTACCTATGCATGAAGAACAACTGAAAAGTTTTTCTGGCTTTTCCTTTCCTCCCTTACCTACATTTCTAAAGAAAACTATTATTGTTCAGCCTAGAAGAGACCCTTGTGACTTAAAAACGAGGTAGTGATATAAAGGCTGACAAGGGAAGGATTGAAAGGGTGAGGGGATTTGATTTTTTTGAGGCTATCATGCTAACACATTTTCACAGAAATAGCATACAGTAGCGAAAATTTTTGAAGAAAGGTGACTTTTCTTCAAGATTTAATATCCTGACTGCTTCAGGGAGAACTGAGAGCTTGTAGATCTTCCTTTGGAAAATATTGTTTCCTCTTTAATCTCCATGTATACACATAAATAGACAAGTTATGTTGGAAACTAAGGGCTGTGGTGTGTCTTAGTGACATTATCTTACTAATGGAAGAAAATCCACCCAGGAACCTGCAGGCACAGTGATGCTGGGTGTTTTCTGTCCTCACTGCCTTGAGGGTGGGGGTCTGGGATTCTTACTGCTGCTCTTGTCAGTGTTGATGGAACAGACAGGTGGCTTCAGGAGTTGGTATTGTATGTTCAC